CATATTTCCAAGGTCCATAATTCATCACGAATCTTCCACACTGGCCACACGCTAGCCACTCTGGAAATATAGCATGCGTACTCACCATGGGAAATGGGATTTCTTGGACTCTAATCACCAGGATTGAGCTAAGACAAAGTGACAAGCATAAAAGCACACTTACGTATTCACGCATATGCTTTTATACATTATCTAAGATATCTAAGATATCTAAGATATCTAAGATATCTAAGATAATGCTTACTGTGGCTGAGGCTCATGTCTGTTACACAAGTAATCTCAGTACCAGATTCTGAGATGTCTCTGAAGAAATGGGAACAGCGTCCTGAACAATGGAGCTTGATCATAAAAGATGTCATCTTCAGATGTGCCATGATGGCTGTAGTTAGAATTCAAAGTTTATGTATATTACACAGATGGTGAAAGACACCTATATGGGAAACAGGGGAGGAGGGAAGAAGGGAAGACAGAAGAAAAAGGAGATCCGAGACAGAAACAAAGAGAAGAAAAAGATGCCTAGTAGTTAATTTCTCCTTAGGTTGCATGAACGTTTAACAATCAAGCTTCTAGTCTTGTGAGCCTGAGTTTAGAAAAATCTTTGAAAAAATCAAATCAATTTAATCCAAGAATCACTTTTTGGGAACACAAGGGAAAGCACCGTTGAACTCAAATGGCAGATGCAGAGTGTTTTGAGATGGTGATTCTCTCTCCATATAGTTGGTATAAGGTCCATATGTAAGTATATCTAAGTAAATACATTTATCTGTAACTAAATATCATGAATTAGTTTTTGTCCCCCGAAGGGCTTAAGGATAGTATATTTTTTTGTCATATATATATATTTAAAAAATTTTTTTTTAATTTTTTTTCAACATTTATTTATTTTTGGGACAGAGAGAGACAGAGCATGAACAGGGGAGGGGCAGAGAGAGAGGGAGACACAGAATCTGAAACAGGCTCCAGGCTCTGAGCCGTCAGCACAGAGCCCGATGCGGGGCTGGAACTCACGGACCTCGAGATCATGACCTGAGCCGAAGTCGGACGCTTCACCGACCAAGCCACCCAGCGCCCCTGTCATATATATTTGTGCATTTTTAAAGATGATTGTGGAAATAATAACGTATCCTGAAGCAGTGTTTTGTTTTCTGTTTGTTTTTTCCCCTTGTTCCCCAGCACAGTTACGGCGCCGGAAGAATAGTGAACCAGACAAGTATTCCTGCCCTCGTGGGGCTTGTGCACGCTCTCCCCACACCCCTGTGCCCCGAGGCAAACAGGAACATCGCCCTACAAGTGTCACAGATCACTCCTTCCCTTTTCAGCTTTGGTCTGTGCAGGCCTGGCTTCCCGGGCACGGGCCCGTGCAATCACACAGCCCCTGCTTGGAAGGGCCCCGTGCTTGGATTAATGCTCTGCTGTCCCCAGCCTGAAATACATACTAAGTTTTGTCCAAGGGCCTCTCGTGTTCACTTTGCACTGGCTCTTGCAAATTATGTAGCCTGTCCCACATTTGTGCATTATAATAAAAAAAAAGATCAAGTTAATAATTATATTTCCATAGAGAATTTAGAACACGTCTCCTAAATTATTTCAATCTCTTCACATTTGTAACTTCTAAATCCCTAGGAAGTCATAACTTTTTTTTTTTTTTAAACGGGGACAGTGAGGCCCCAAGGGATTATGTCAGAGTTGATCACTCCACCTCTGTGCTTCCAAGAGCTGGGTCTTTCTTCTCATTGCCGCCGAGGACTTCACTAAAGACGGGGACTGTGCGCTCTGTCCTTGCCACTGTTCTGTGCATTAAACCCCATTTTTATAACCTGTGGGACTCAGCACTTCACAGCCAATAACTTTCCAACCATCAAATTTCATTGTGGTTTGGCTGATCGTGGGCAGATTTCGACCTCTTTCCTCTAGTTGGTAGACAACAGGAAGCACAGGTTAGGGATGAAGCGGGCGGGAGGAATCTCGTTTTCCTAACTCTGGCCTCTGGTCCAGCAGGCTGGACCAGCCCCAGAGCGGTCAGGAGCCGCTGACGAGGAAAGTCCTGGTGCAGGAGGCCGAGGCGGTCCTGTCACTGCAGACTTGCAGTGGTCCAGAGGTTACTGATTCTTTTGCTTTCAGAAGCTCCTGTATCTTGCACTTACTGCAAATTTGTGTTCTGAACACATGACTGTTGTGGAGAAAAACATATCACAGCTCTACTTTGCAAGGATCAGGTTAAATCCGTAGCAGGGTCTGGTGCTTCCCAAGACATAGTGCTCTTCTACCTCTAACGTAATTATCAGATCTCGGGGGGTGAACGGGAGAAAGAGGATTTTCCTTTTCTGTGGGACTGAATCCCTCCTATCTTGTTGTCAAGAATCCATGACCTCAATCATGTTTTCTTGTCTGTTTGTGTTGCATCTCTGTGTGGGTATATCTGATATATACATGTATACACACATTGTGTGTATACATATATATATCATATTTATGCAAACTATATATATATATATATATATATATATATAAATCATATATATACATGGTTCTGACACAGAAGAAGCTGCAAAAATTGTTTGCTGGATTCAAATCTATATTTTGATCAATCCGAAATACATTATCTACTTCAACATTGTCTGAAAAGTTTAGAGAAGGACTTGGCCATCCGTCGCCTGATTTTCCAATGTGACTTTTTTCCTGAGGGCCCACTGAAGAGGTATCTCCTCCTCCCTCAGCAATGGTTGTGTGCAATTCGGAGCAGGGAGAGTCTTTCACATCTAAAGTCAGTGGTCAGATTAAACTTGGGTGACATGTAACACCAGTGCATTGTAACGATCTATTTTCTGCTTTGCGGTCCACGATATCCATTTTAGGTAAATCACAAAAGATTCTTGCAACGAAGGCTATTCCCCTAACAAAAATAGAGATGGAGTGATCTTCCTTTTGTTTCTTTTTCTTTTTTTTTTTTAATACAAACCCCACAACTTTCTCATAGAGAAAGAAGTCCAGTGTGCCTGATCAGGATAGTCGTTGCAATTTACAAAGGCCAAGGCTCCCCCAGCCCTAAATGTAACCCCCTTTCCCTTTTTCTCGAGCCCGAAACTTTCCTTCTGTATTCTCCGACTTTGAAAGCAGTTCGCAGATTTTCAGGAACAATGGCAAATTTTCAAACATTCCCTAGAAAGGGTGTAGCCCTGCATTTCTCATTTATCTGCTCTCCTTACATCAGCCATCAGTGATGTTTGCAACCCCAGGCAGTTTTTTTTTTACTGCAGTTCATTCAAGGGTGAACCAGAGATGACAGGCCCCCTGGGCTGTGGCGGGAAGGCCATAAGAATCAAAGAACAAGCAAATGCCCTCAAGGAAGAAAGTTTGATAAGTCCCTGCTGTATGATTTCTATCCCTTCTGCAAAGCTGTTTTGTTTCCAGCCACTTTCTTATAATTTTTGACTCTTTTGGAAAAGTCTTGCTACTTTCCTAGGAAAAGTCTCCAGGGGAGCAAGCTTTCAAAGCCCGCTGCTAAATATGTGCCAGGCTAACATGTGGAAGGCCGTTTGTTTACAAAAATGGGGTAAACGCACAGATTGCTCCCCACCAGGCCCTATACCCCCACGGCCACTCAACAACCAGTGCTGAGACTTGCGGGCGTCTAGGGCACATGCTGTTTTGAAGCCATTTGTTCTCTAGGATTCTTGACTGTTATTATGTCATGCATGCTCCTCTGGTTTTATTCCAGATGTATAACATTAACATGAAATGTTGGAGGTCATGACAGTGTCGGACTCCAAAAACATTCCTGTTTGTCTTTTCAGCGCCGGTCCCCAAAATGACTTTGCTAAAGAAGGAGCTGGCATCCTTTCTGGCATTTTACACCACCGGAGGTCTTGTGTGTGTAGGGTGGGAGTGGGGATGGAGTGGGTCCACTTCACCGGGGATCCCAGTAACATTACAGACCCAAGAATATGTCCAGTTCTCAAGGTTTAACTACTGTGAAACGATTGTTTAACTATTTTTATGGGTATTTCAGAAGGGCTTTGGATTGCCTTACAAAGTTATGGAAGGGCTACTAAACACACTTATAAGATTCGTCAACTGCAGAGATACTTGCACAGCCACAGTGATGTTCAGAAGCGGCCATCTCCATTGTCCTACCTCCAGCTGCCCTGAGTGAAAATAGTGGCTTGGTACGCAAGTATAGCTTCATCACGAATCCCCTAGACCCTTCTTCTAACCAGACAGCCAACCCCCAGGCCCATTATTTCTTCTACAGAGATTCATATATGCTGGCAGTGAAACCAGAGTGATCTCCAAAAGTCTGTGCAACGGTTATCGGTTGCCGCATAACAAATGACCCCAAAACTTCATGGCTTAAAAGACAATCATCCTTCGTTATTTCTCCCCAGTATTGAAGACCTCCCCATGTGACCTGGGCTTCCTCACAACGTGGTGGCTGGCTTCTCAGTGTGACCATCGTGAGACAAAGAAAGATCCAGGCAGAGCTGTATGCCTTTTATGACCTAGCCTCGGCAGGCATGCAGAATCACTTCTACTGTGTTCTGTTGGCCAAGGCAGTCACAAAGGCCTGCTCTGGTTCATGGAGCCCACCTCTTATTGCAGAAATGTCAAGTAGGACTGTGAGAGTATGTGGGATGGAAAGTATATTGCTTCAGCCACTTTTGGAAAATACAATCTACCAGAGGTACCGCCTCCATGTACAGTGGCTCTCTCTTCGGCCAAAGAGGTGGATTTTTTATCAACGTCAGTAAAGGCACCACCTGAATAAATACTAATGCAGCCTTGTGAGATGTACAGAGACTCCAGATCTCCTGTGGGATGAACAGCGGTCAGAAAGCCCAACAATTCAGTGGAAACTCTAGAAGAACTTGCCAACTGGGAAGGGAGGAGAGAGGATTGCTAGGTTCTTCTCTCAGCTATGCTTTTGGATAAACGTCTGGAGAGCACAGGGCTCAGCAGGTCAAGAACCAGCTAAAGCAACACCATAAAAACAACACCCTACGTGTTATTGCACGCGATGTTTTTATATGCACTATCCCATCTCATTCAGCAGACAGCTAGCTCACTGAAGGGTGGACAGTCTTTCACAGGGATTCAACAGCAAACAGGGGAGACGCTTCTTCTGTGTCCAAGGAATCTGCACTTTAGTAGGAGGAGATGGGCAATAGACAAAGCGGAATAAGCCAAGTGACAAATGAACAGGAAGGTGACAGCTAGTGATGGGCACTGTAGTAAAACCAGTGCAGCGTGTGGTAGAGACGTACCCAGTGCCGTACCTAGCACAGCAGTGCATGTTAAGTGGTCAATGATAGCCTCTCCCAGACTCTGGGGATATAGGTCAGACCCAGCTTCAGTCTATGGATGGAGGAATTCAAGTCACTGGGGACATCCTGTGGCTTGGGTTGGTTTAGCAGCAAGGCCAAGGTGAGAACTCCAGATTGTTGGCTGTAGTCCCTTGTTCCCCGCAGGCTGCACGGCTCCAGGCAACCGTGGCTGATCAGGGCCTGGTCATTCAGTAAGGGTACGTAGCCTGGTGTGGGTGCTGTCTCCACGTGGGGCCTGGAAGGTGTGCCAGGAGCCCTTCGAGAATGGAGAAACCAGCGAGTAGCCAGCAGAAGAACACGATCTTCCCTGTCTGTTTAGATCAGGAAATGAGTTAAAATTGTCTTTCTTGGGGCGCCTGGGTGGCTCAGTCAGTTAAGTCCACTCTTGGTTTCAGTTCAGGTCATGATCTCATGGTTTGTGGTTTTGAGCCCTGCATCGGGCTCCGTGCTGACAGCTTACAGCCTGATTGGGATTTTCTCTGTTCCCTCTCTCTCTCTTCCCCTCCTCCACGAGCTCTCTCCTTCTCTCAAAAACAAATAAACATGTAAAAAAAAATGTCTTTCTTTACATAGTAGGCTTGGCCATGAAAAGCTAGCTGGAAATACAATCTTTGTGGATTAAACTGTATTTTAAGAGCTCTCTGACATCAGGATTGGGAAGATGCTGATAATCCTTGAAGTTGAACAAATGATCCATGGGGGCTCACCATATTATTCTACTTTGGTGCATGCTTGAAAGTTTCTCAAATGAAGAGTAAGTAAATACAAAAATATTAGCAGAAGATCTCTCTTTCTCTCTACCTCTCTTAAAATAAGAACAATTAATTCAAGCAATCTTTTTTTGAAAAAGGAAATTTTGCAAAAAAAAAATGTATAACTCTCCAAACATATGCTTTTTTTCTAAAGCCAAGCAATAGCGTATCGAAATAATTTGTAATATTAGCTCCACCTTTATGTTCAGTGATAGTTAACATGAATAGGTGTGTTTCTACCTACCGGGAATATATTATGAAGTACCAGAAGGAGACAGCGTGGTCACAGTGGTCACTCAGGAGAGGCAAGGTGAACCTGGACATTCTGGGAACAGGGTCTGGTCCCATCTCTCCCACGGCAGGTCTGTGGCTCCGGGCAGGTCTCCTCACATCTCTGGTCCTTGGTTTTCTCAAGTAAAGGAAGCATTTGCTCTGGATCACTTCAAGGATCCTTCCTCCCAACGTCGGAAAGAGAATTCTGGGGGTCAAGGCATGACGGGACTGAAAATACCAAGACCACTTAGGACAGACGACAGGGAAGACAGAGACGAATTTCCAGCTCCTTGGACGAGGACCCACCTGATGCCTCAAGGCCTTTCAGGATGTCCAGATCATCCGTGGCTCCTCACCTTCCATCTGCCTCCCCGCCTCCCCAGGCTAACATCTTAGATGTTCTGTAAAGGAAACCGATGAAAAGATGAGTAACAGCTTCTGAGTAACAGCTTCAACAGCTACTGAAGATATTTTCACAATGTCCTTGAATTTCTCAGACAACACAGCATATAAATTTCTTTCTCTTCATCTGGAAGAAGGTACACAGATCTTCCGCCAAATGGTGACCACCACTGCTGCTCTGCGTGGACAGAAACCCTGTGCGTGGGCTCGGAGCCGCGGTTTCTTTTCCTTTCCCCTTGGGGGATGATGTGACCTCTCTGGGGACTCTCTCCTCTTCACCCCCTGACCAGAAACCAACCCCAGTATCTATAAAATACAGCAAGGAGACGCTCAACGCTCATGGTTTAATATGCTTACAATTCTTTCTAGGTGATTGGATTGTGATTTCTCATTTTTCATAAATTTTATTTCCTTTAACTTTTCCCTTAGTGTTTCTGGACTCTCCAACTTTTCTTCAAAGAGCACGCATTCCTTTGGACTTGGGAAATGAACCCCAATACACAGGATTTTTTAAAAAGTATATATTATTAACCCCCAGCTTAAAATCTGTCACCGGTCCTTCATTGGCTGGCCTTGCCAAGTGCATAGAATCCAGAGAGCTGGGCTGGCCCCTCGGCCTCCAGGACCGGGGACCCTACCGACTTTACCTTCTGGCCCCCTGTCCTCCTGCCCTCACTTCCCCGGGCCACCCGGGGCTCGCACCCACTCCCTGCACCCACATGAACCCGGCCTCTGCTCCTGGACCTGCCGCGGTCCAGCCGCCAGGGGCCTCCACCCTCGGACCCCACCTCCTCTTCCCTCTGGCCGGCTGCAGTGTGCAGCACGCGCCGCAATCTCTTCAGGAGGCCCCCCTGCACCTTCCCGCACCCAGGCTCTTCTGGAAGAAACCCCAAACCGCACTGTACGGCGCGTTCCAGGGCTGCTTCTTCACTGGCCGAGAAATGCCCTGACGCTTTCTTTCTCGGCGGCTTTCTTTCTCTAGTTTTTTTCTTTTGTCTTTTTTGTCTTTTTGGACTTCTCGGTGTCCAGCAATGTCAGAGACCCAGCAACTGGACCCATGAACTTATCCACAGGATGTTTGCTTGGGTTTCAGGAGGTCTACGCAGCAGTTATAAATCACCAGAGGTTGCTTCTCTTTGCTCCCCCAATAAAGGCCACTTAGGCATAAAACCATGAAGAGTATTACGTGCAAAGGACCAAACTAAACACAGATGACATACCGGGGATGGACGTTACCTGCAGCAAGGCTCCCCCCTCTATCCGCGCACTGTTCCACCTGGAGCCCCTGCCGTGCCCTCTGCGGGCTGCAGCCCAGGCAGCGTCCGGTTGACTTACGATGACGTAATGCATAGTGCGTTGGCCGTGGGGACCCTCTGGCTGGTATACTGTAGGTGCTCATTCGATGCTCGTGGAAGGAGGGAATTTCATATTTAGGTAGCCCGTGTGTCAGGAAGGGTTCAGTCCATATGAATCAGGGCATTAAACAAGGCACGCAGGGGGAGCCCCAGGGAGACTTTCTGGCCTTGTTTCCTGCAGGCACTGGGGCACCTGACTGGTGGGAGGGGCCTCAGCGCCACAAGCTCCGCCCCCGTGAGGGGCCGCCCTTCTGCAGCCAGCCAGGCGCTTGGGACTCCGCCAGTGTCATGTGGGCTAAGAAGGCTAGGCGAGCGTTTAGAAAGTGCTTGCCTTTCCTCCTTCCCACATTAAGCTCCAGATTCTCCGTTATTTTTGAATTCTCCTCCTCTGTCCTCTCTCCAGAGTTTTACCAGCCCCGAGGCTGAAGAGTCTCAGAGCGTCACCCTTTAGGAATGTAAAATGATTCTTGCCCCAACACAGCTTTGCTTAATAACACACTCTACAAATTCAGGGAGCTCATTTGGGTAAAACACAGTTTTTCCTTTTCGTCCCTTTGCTGCTTTCTCCAAACAAATTCTAAGAAAGACTGCAACATCAGCAATTTGGCAATTTGGGACTGAAATAGAGAGTCTAGAGTCTGGAGTCTCATGTCTTTTTCTGATTGAAAAAGTAAAAATTCTTTGAAGTGTATAAATTTGTGCTTGGCAGTGCTTGCATCTGGCGCTGTTTCATTTTTCACAGACCAAGCCAGAGCAGGGAACACTATTCCTCAACCCTTCCGCACCAAGATTCTCTGCCCCGTAAACCTTCACACACCAGGACAGGAGTCCTCCTGAAAAGGGGTATAAACCCCCCTTCGATCACGTCTGACCACAATGATGAATCCCTCCAAGTGCCTCTTCTTCACTGTCCTAACCATCCTGTCCCCACTTACAGTGACATACACCACAGAGCCCAACACCCAAAACCAGGCAATCTGTTAGGCGCCCTCTGAAGTATCAGGTGACGGAAAATGGGAGAAAGCTTGGTTAGGTGGCCGCCACCTATGTATCCAATCACGGAAGTTCCTTTCTCTCTCCCGGGTGACTCAAGCACAGTGTTGGAGGTGTCGGATATTTCAAGGGGAGAGGTCAGCTGCAGCCCACAGGGAGACTTGTGTGGCTTGCTCCTTCCATGGATTCCGGCTTCATGTCGTGATAATGATAATGATGACCAGTTGCCATGTAAACTCTCCATGGAATTGTGTGCACAGTGACCATTAGATTCCTTCATTATGTTCTGGAACAGTAGAAGACGGTACCACTTGAAGCTTGAAAGAGCGAAGGGCCCATTGAGCATGTTGAAGGGCTGCTTTAGCCCACAGAATATCCCCCAGACATTTAAACACCACCTCCTCCACCCCCCTACGACCCCTGCCCAACACTCTGGAGACTGTGTGAGAGTGCCTGATGGGGACTGGAGTATGCATTATTTTGAAGCTGGGAAAATGAGGTTTGGGGAGCCAAAAAACTTTTTTTTTTTAAGGCTTATTTTTGCAAGAGAGAGAACTTGTGAGCACAAGTTGGGGAGGGGGGCAGAGAGAGACAGAGAGAGAGAGAGAGAGAGAGAGAGACGGATCCAAGCTGTCAGCACAGAGCCCGATGTGGGGCTCAAACCCATGAACCGTGAGATCATGACCTGAGCTGAAGCGGATGCTCAACCGACTGAGCCATATGTGGAATTTAAGAAACAAACCAGATGCACATCAGAGAAGGGAAGGAAAAAGAAGATAAAAACAGAGAGGAAGGCAAACCATAAGAGACTCTTAAATACAGAGAACCAACCGACGGTTGATGGAAGGGTGTTGGGTAGGGAGATGGGCTAAATGGGTGACGGGCATTAAGGAGGGTACTTGTTTTTTTTAATTAACTAATTCGTTAATTAATTTTTAAATTTATATCCAAGTTAGCACATAGTGCAATAATAATCTCAGGAGTAGAATTCAGTGATTCATCCCCTACATATAACACCTGGTGCTCACCAAACACCCACAACTTCTCCAGCGACCCTCAGCTTGTTCTCTGTATTTAAGAGTCTCTTATGTTTTGTCCCCCTCCCTGATTTTATATTATTTATGCTTCCCTTCCCTTACGTTTTGTATCTTAAAGTCCACATATGAGTGAACTTATATGATATTTGTCTTTCTCTGACTAATTTCACTTAACATAATACACTGTAGCTCCATCCACTTTGTTCCAAATGGCAAGATTTCATTCTTTTTGATTGCTAAGTAATACTGCATTGTATATATATATATATACCACATCTTCTTCATCCATTCATCCATCGATGGGCATTTGGGCTCTTTCCATACTTTGGCTATTGTTGATAGCACTGTTATAAACATTGGGGTGCATGTGCCCCTTCAAATCAGCATATCTGTATCCTTTGGATAAATTCCCACCAGCAGTGCAAAAGGGTTCCTCTTTCTTCGTATCTTCACCAACATCTGTCGTTGCCTGAGTCGTTAATTTTAGCCGTTAATTTTGCTGATTGCGAAGCGGCACTCCATCACTGGGTGCAGTGAGAGGAGCCGATGACAGCGGATGACCAATAGAAGCAGTACTTAAAAACACGCTAACTGGGGTGACATAATCAGACATGTTATGATGGCCAATTCGGCACTAGGGAACTTTTACTACAAAATTATGATATTAGAAGGAAATGCAATTTACTTTGTAGTCACAGATTAATGAGGCTAGACAAGACTGGTTATTTGAGAAGTACTTGTGAATTATTTATTTCCCAAAAGTATGTTTCTTACACCTTGCTTGCATCCCCTTCTCTCTTCCTCACTTGTTTTCCCATTGCCTCCCACCTGGAAGTGGATTTCCTGCCTTCCTTGTTGAATCAGTGACTCAGTCAAACCAGGTGCCTGCCTTTGACTTTAGTTCATCCAAAAAGAGTCGACTCCCATTGGCTTCTCTCACTGCCCCTAGTGATGGAGTCCCGCTTCCCACCCCCCCGCAGCCAGGTGCTCAGGTCTGGGTTTGGGGACATCACATCCCAAATAGCACCGGGACCTCAGAGCCTGCACGTGTCTGGGACGGGCATCAGACGTAGTTTGCACCTGCTCAAGAAAGACTTAGTGCAGTTGAGGTATAATCGATCTAAAGTGAGTTAGTAACAGGAGCAAAGCTCAATATTTAAATCACTACATATCGTGATCAACATCATACGACTTTTAACTTTGAAGGCTTCGGACGACAAACATGCTCCACACGGTCTGTTTGTTGGGATCACTGTTTCAAAAGGAATTCAGGAAAGAACCCTGAATTCCTGGGATAAGTCTATCCCTACAGGCCAACCCATGCTGGCCATGTCACTCTGGCCTGTGGTCCTTTTACCAGATGGGATCCTTGGTGTCCATCCATGAATGGTGGCAGTTTCAGCCAGGGCTCACCACCGCAAGGGTCTGGAGGAAGCCTAGGGGAGCTCTGCCGTCCATGAAGCTGCTACCTCCTGGTTCGCCATACTTCTTAGGTTTCTTCGGTCCGATTCAGACCAAAGGCTACTTTCTCAATGTGTTTTTACTTGGCTGGAATCAAACAGAAGTAGAGAAATGGGATGTTTCACCACTTAAATTTGGAATTATAATATCATTAATTCCTCATCGGCTTTTGAATTTCTGAGATAGGGTGCCTGACAGGCGCTCTCTTTCAAGTTGCTTTTGCGATGTTACCAGCTCTGCTGACATACCTTTAAGGGTCGGTGAAACACTGGAGAACAGTTCCTGCAATGAACAAAATGTTGCGTCTCAGAGATTACCATCACTTTGTGGTCAAAAATATTTTTTCCTGTATGACTTGTCTTATATCAAAGTGTCTGGATTATGTTCACTGTAACCATAAACTGTTAGGAAGGTTTTCTTGAATACACTAGCCATTTGTACCTCTTCATTCTGGATGACAAAAAACAAAACAAAACAACAAAAAAAACACAGCACCACCCAGAAAGACAAAAGGATCCACGAGTGTGATCACTTTCTCGTGCCTGACCTTCCCGCGGATGTTCCAAAACAAAGATGAAATCAGACAGTGAGGCCTGCGGAGTAAATAATCCCTTCCAAGTTTATCCATATGGCATTCCTGGTCCTGGAAAGCTGATTCGTTTCTAGATCAAAGGGAGGTTGGCTGGGTGGACCCAGGGGTTAACAATGCTGAGTTCTGCAGGATGCTGATGATGCCTTAACCTCAGCCTGACTGTTGGGCCGGGTAACTCGCAACTCTTCTAGCCTGATAAACTTAATCACCAAACCCTATCTTCCTACCACCGTTGGAGCGAGCCAGGGATATGCTGCAGAGGGCGAGAGTGCTCATCTGGGGCAACAGGAAAGTTCAGACCAAGGGAAAAAGCAAAACTGAGCTGCGTGTGTCCGAATTTCTTTCCTTGGCAGTGGGCGTCCAGGGATCTGGCCTTGGCCTGGGCTCCGGGAACTGGCCTAGCATGGAGGAGGGGTGCGGCTACCCATCTGGAGCCAAAAATCAACATTCAGGGTCAAGCAGGCAGACTTGGAAAAATAGGAGGGGACTGAGCAGAGAGGTTGCAGCAATGACACTGTAAGCCAGGACTTCAGCATGAGCGAAGACAAAGGCACACAGAGAAGAGAAGCCAGAGCCCCAGGAGATTCTGAGAGGGACAGGGCCCCTTGTCTCTGGGTGGAGAGGGAACATGAGGACAAACTCAGCACAGCACAACCAGGGTTCCCAAGCCAGGAATGGAATTTAGAGAGTTGACAAGACGGAAGGGAGGCCAGAAGCTGGTGTCAGAGTCCCAGCCTAGTGTTAGCAAAACAGACAAGTTCAAGTAAGGACCAATAGCGGCTGAGATGGGCTGGTCCACGAAACAGGTTTTAGTTTCCGCTCGCGTTAATAAATCAACCGATGCCTGATTCATGGGAAGATCAGGTATGTTACCAATAGGGCCAGGACTGGGAGGGATGGACTTCAGACACAGGAGTTCTGATAAATGCTATTCTGCAGGATTCCCAAACAAAACAAAGCAAAAACAAGGCAAAGCTGCACTTCACATTTATAATACCATACACTGCATTAGGGAGTATATTCTCTGTAGGGGAAAACTTTAATTTTGAATAAGCATTGGTGAGAACTTAAGTCCTTAGCTTACAATGTCCATGCCTGATGCTAGAAAGCTTCCCACGGGGTGACTCCTCATGTCAAAGTGGGTTTCTCCTCCGTTGCCCACCTGCGTCCGAGGTCTGGTGCCGGAGGACCCGTTCACGTGGTGATATCCCGTATCCCTGGACCTCTGTCTGAGCTGGGTGAGTCAGCAGGTGCGTGGCAGGGGAATTCCTGGAAGCCCTTCCTGGGTCAGGACCGATGGCCATGACTTAACTATATACATGGGAGACACTGTGAGATTAAATATATACATAGATCTCCAACTCAGCTTCTCTTTTAAGAAGACAGATCTCCAGGGGCGCCTGGGTGGCGCAGTCGGTTAAGCGTCCGACTTCAGCCAGGTCACGATCTCGTGGTCCGTGAGTTCGAGCCCCGCGTCGGGCTCTGGGCTGATGGCTCGGAGCCTGGAGCCTGTTTCCGATTCTGTGTCTCCCTCTCTCTCTCTGCCCCTCCCCCGTTCATGCTCTGTCTCTCTCTGTCCCAAAAATAAATAAACGTCGAAAAAAAAATTAAAAAAAAAAAAAAAGAAGAAGACAGATCTCCAAAACTCCCCTGGACTCGCCAGTGCTACTTGACATCAGGGAAGTGTGACAAAAGGGAAGTTCAAGGGCAGAGAGGTAGTGTCTTGACCGCAGCAGCCAAAATATCCCATGTGCGCAGTTTACCAGAAGCAGGTGACCCCGTGAACACGCTGCTGGGTGCCGGAGGTGTTAGGAGAAGCCCAGCAAATGGAAAGCCCAAAGCTGAGGCACCAGTGGCTGGAAAATCAAACCTTTTCCCAAATATACTCATTTCTCAGAGGTCCTGGTCTTGAGCTTCTCGATTTCATTTTCTCCCAGAGAAGAGTCGATTTTTAATTCTTTCTCTTTGGGGCATATTTTCGTATTTTCTTCCTTGTTTTCGCAGTGGGCACTTTAGCTGGCTTCCAGGTGGTGACGTAAAGTACTTCGGGTTTTTCATGAATGCTTATTATTGTTATTTGAAAAGCGGAAATTTTTCAAACGTCATAATTGTTGAGGTTGGGGCAGGACAGAAGCGCAGGGGGCCAGTGGCCGACCTGTAGGCCACCCTGCGGGTGCCTGTGTCTCCAGACCAGGTCCTCCTCTCGCCGAGTCCGCACAGTTGGTGAAGCGAAGGTCCGGCAGGGCACCGAAGAGGACGTTTACTCCCAGGGTTGAAACGCACTCAGTACATTTCAAATCACCAGATTTTTAAAAACTGCGTACAGAATTTAGACCTCCGGTATTTCTAAAACATCAGACATGCCACAAAACAGAGTGTGGGCAAGGGTGGTTTTATAACCCCGCCTGATCTCATGACTCAGGACGCGGGGTTGGGCAGCTAGCTCAGCTCCGCATGGTCCCCTGAGGGGCCTGGACTCAGGGCCGGCCCCGGCAACAACCTGGTCCCAGCCTGGCCACTCACAGACCCGGCCTCTAGTTCACCCGCCCCCCCCCCCCCCCAGTCGTGCAGTCTGCAACCTGAGCTACAAGGAGCAGGGAAGGGAGAAGGTCCAAATCCCCTCCTGGCTCTGTGGCTCCAGGTTAGAATTCAGGCCTCATTTAAAAATTACATTCCAGAATTTCAGTTTCAGCTTCTCCCCCTCCCCCCCCTCCTCCCTCTCCTCCCCTCCCCCCTCCTCCCCTCCCCCTCCTCCTTATCTCCTCCCCCTCCTCTCCTTCCTGCTCCCCCCTCCTCCCCTTCCTTCAACCCCCCCCCTTCCTGCTCGCCTCCCCCTCCTCCTCCTTCTTCAACTTTCAGCCCCAGCACAGAAGAAAACCTACAGCAGCTCCATCTGGCAGGACGAAACGAACGTTTTACGTTTTGCAGAAATGTCTGAAGGAGGGGGTCTTTCGAGGTAAAGTAGCTGGTTCCTCATTCTCCCTTCAGGGCAGGACCACAGCCCAGACCCCGAAAGGCAGGAACTTGTTCCCGTTTAAGAACTTCCAAAGCAAGAAGATTCCAGAAGCGTTATTGATCGCGTCATCGCACAGCCCTCTATTCCGTATCTTTAGGTCCCTCGGGTGGGGCACTTGAGCCCAGAACGTAGGTTACGTAGGATGCAGCCCGTCTGGGTCCGGGAGGCCCTGGGCTGGGGGTGGAGGGAGGGCTGCAGGCAGCGCGGGGGTGGGGGGAGGTGGGGGGGGGTGCTGAGGTGGGGGAGGGGGGGAAGGGTGAGGGGGTGAACGTGCCGCACACGCTGCCGGCTGTGGGTCACGTCGGCCTCCCGACATGTATCGTTCAACTTGAACAGTGTTGTGCTACATTAGCTTTTAAAATTATGAGACAGTTGCGAACTTTTGAAAATTTGGCAAATTCACGTGCGCTCAGGCTCACTCACTGCCCACACACATTTAGAACCTGATTGCCAATGTTTCTTTAAAGACTTAGGTGATGTTTCAACTATACTTGAATTAAAAAACAAACAAACTTGGGAGAGGTAGGAACAGTTGAGGCCCTGTTCGCGCCTGGCTGTAGGCACGTACTCCACGGTCCCCATCGCTGCCTGCGGACTCCCAGGGGGACCACCCGTGTCACCAGCCAGCCTCTGTGGTCATCCGACTTGGTGACCACAGCTAGAGCCGTGCTAATGGAAGTATAATGCCAGCCGAAGGTGCAAGCGAGCAACATAGGTAATGCACTTTTTCCAGCAGCCACATTTTTTAAAAAGGAGAAAGGAACAGGTAAAATTAATTTTAATAATATGTTTTGTTTAGCCCAACATGTCAACAATGTGATGCAATTAAAATAAAAATTATTTTTTTAAGTTTATTTATTTTGAGAAAGAGTGCACATGTATGAGGCAGGTGGGGGGTGCAGAGAGAGAGGAAGACAGAGAGAATCCCAAATAGGCCCTGTGCTGTTAGCACAGAGTCTGATGCAGGGTTCCAACTCATGAACTGTGAGATCATCACCTGAGCCAAAAGCAGGAGTCGGACCCTTAACTGACTAAGCCACCCGGGGGCCCCAATAAAAATGACTAATGAGACATTTATATTCTTTATTCATGCTATATCTTCAAAATCCACTTTTATTCTCTGGCACATCTCAATTCAGACTTGCTCCATTTCAGATGCGGCCGGTGGGTGGGAACCCAACAGCCACAGGACGCTGTTGTGCTACCTGGGACAGACGGACCAGCAGTGGAAGGTTAGGTTGGAGAGAAAGACTGAGGCCAGATCATGACCTCAGGGTTCCCGGGTTAGGCAGAATGCTCAGTTCTGGGTGGCCTTAAAGGAGGTGCTTTTGTATTTCCTTTTATCAACAATTAGGAGCCACTGGAATCTTGTTCGGGGGCTTCTGTGCAATGTTTTAAAAGTCCTTTATTTTATCCGACATTCCTACTCCCATATCTCAAATCCATTTACTCTTGGACTGTCTTGAATGTATATGGAGAACAGCTGAGCCAATGCTTCCAGAGGTTTCCAAACTGTTTCCTTTAGAGTGCCAGGGTTCCAAGTAGGGGCCTCGGAGGAATGGTGAGTGGGAGTGCTAGACCCGGGGCCCATGCCAGTATCAACTGGAGGAGGTTCATCAATCTGACATGTAGTGGCTTGTGCAAGATTGTATTTACAGAAACAGCACTACTGTTTTTGTGTCTTTTTAGCTGTTTGAAGAATACTCCTTTATGATATAATCTTCCAGAATGGATAAAATAGTCTCTCCTGTGCTAGGTGTTTAAGTACTTGGTGTGATCCCTATTCCCTGCGTCTGTATGTCTTTTATGGATCCTTCATTCACTTTAAGCCCCTTTATCCTGGGTGGTCCAATATAAGTTGGGGACCAGGTATGGTCATCACATGCTAAAAGGGGCCATTAAAAAATACAGTCATACGTAATGCTTTAAAAACTTAAAGGAGTTGTTTACTTACCATGTGTCTTCACAAATCTCATGTTAATCAGCGATTATGGATCTGATTGTGCCATTATAAACTTTTAAAACTCCACTTTCTATTAAGTCAATCAGGACAGTGTTCTTTTGTAGAAACAGATTTCTCGCAAAAAGGAAATGAACTGTGAAGAAAGAATTGGCTCCTAGACCTTCTAATCAAATTGACCACATTTACTCACCCACCCCCTTCCCCAAACCCGTTTGGTAAGCTGATCTCTTAGCAAAAGAGAAAAAGGCTTTCCGTTTTTATGACTTACATGGAATAAAGAACAATGTCTCCGCCTCCAGACCGTGACCGTCTCTGACTTTATTGTGATCTGTGGTGAGAGAGGAATTCGCAGAGGAACATTCTCCCAGACGGCCACAGACAGGCTTCTTGGGACAGTTTATCTGCCTACATGGCTGAGCTGCTTGCTCTCTTTCTCCTTCCTCTTCTGCTCACATGCTTTCTTTTTATTTGAGATCATAATTCATCATTCCTTACCTGCTGATCAACTGAAACAAGTCATGGTGGTTTCAGACACAACTTCATAGCACCAGGTGGTTTCTTTTAGTGAATTCCTTCAAGGTGAATCTGATGTGTCCAGGCAAAGCCAGTGATGGAAACCCACCCAAACCCAGTAGTATTTGCAAAAGAATTCCCCAGGGTGTGTTCAGTTACAGAGTTTCGGTCAGGTTTCTTGGTATCCTTCACTGTCTTCTGAAAAGGCAAAACAGTAAGGCAGATGTGTCTGTGAAGAAACAATGCTAATGTAACAAAGGTGCGGCGGGGAAGGTATGCTTGGGGCTCTGGGTGGGGCAGAGGCTATATCCCAACACAGGTGTTCAGACATTCAGATTTCATCCAGGAAATGTACGAAGAAGCTCATTGATCCAGGGACAAGTGCACGGGACGTCCTCCAGAAAGAGGAACAGGGCTGGGGAATCCATTCTGGGGAGAACTTTGAGGGGACACAAGATGGTCCTCCCATGTGTGTCACACTTAGGAGAAAGTCCCAGCTGATTGCTGCGATTCCACCTTCGCTCTTGCACAAGAAAGGATGGAATAATTCCAGGGAGAGTGATGCTTTCATAGGCATATATTTGAATCGGTTCTAACTTACATAAAGAAGTAGGTAATTTGCAAACTTTGATACTCGAATATCAACCTATCACATTCCTTAGAAATGATCCCAACAACCCATGACCTTCAGCAACAAGTTCAAGGGTAAAGCAAGGATACAAGCATCTCATCAGGAAAAGATGGCACATTAAATGGGGATAATTAAGGAAAGTTTAATATTACGATTATTTGCAAAAACATGAATAAGCTTAAAAGAAATGAACACGGAATGATGAAACACCATAGGGCCAATTTCAACAAGGAGACCTTTTGCCCCCTGGGCCTGATGGGGGAAGGCCAGAAATGCTCACTGGATTCCGGAGAGAGAGGGGGCCATGTGGAGGGAGTTACATTCTTTGGGGAAGCCACCAACACTCTGTCTGCAACTGAGCTCCTTCTGTTTTCTGAGTTGTTGCTTGTAAATGCCACCGTAAGCCTAGGGCAATGGATGATGTTGCAGCTGCCTATAGAACCCAGCACAGAACAAGATGGACACAGTGGGTTAAAGGGAAAATGCCCAGTATAGGCATCAATTCCAACAGGACAAGGCTGTTCATCGGCCAGAGGACCAGGGATATAGGGTAATCTAGCTCAGTTTGAATGATCAGAATCTGAGGTAGCGGTACATTTTCTCCCAGTTATCACTATGAAGCAATTGCTACTCTACTAAATGGCCCACTCTGTGTTCTTTCTCGCCTGCTGGACTGTGAGCTCTTTGAAGGAAATACCTGGCCTTTCATCTGTACACAGTTTGCTGCACGGCGTTTGACATATAATAAATGCTCAACAAATGGTGGTGAATTGAATCAATGAATGTCCCAGGCCGCTACTAAATTGAAGCTTTATTCCTTTTGACTCTTTACCTTGGCCAGAATCAGTCTTCAAGAATGGTGCAGACCAATAAAACTAAGAGTTAGTTTTTTGAGAAGAGAAACAAAATCAACTTTTAGCTAGACTTACCAAGAAGAAAAGAGAGAGAGGACTCAATTAAATAAAATTATTAATGGAAAGAGGAGAGAGACATTATCACTGATATCACAGAAAGGCAGACCGTAAGAGACCACTCTGAACAATTACACAACAACAAGTTGGAAAAGCCTAAAGAAAAGGATAAATTTGTAGAAGCATACAACCTACCACGACTGAATCATTAAAAATGAGAAAATCTGAACGGACCAATAACAAAGAGGAGATTGAGTTAGTAATCAAAAGCTTCCAGTCAAAAGCAGCTCCAGGACCAGATGGCTTCACGGGGGAATTCTACCAAACATTTAAAGAACAATTAATACCAATCCTTCTCAAACTCTTCCAAAAAAATGAAGCTAAGGGAACACTTTCAAACTCATTTTATAAAGCCAGCATTACCCAGATAAGGACACTACAAGAAAACTCCAGATCAGTATCCCTGATGAATATGGATAGATGCAAAAATCTTCAACAAAATACTAGCAAACTGAATGCAACAGTACATTTTCAAAAAAAGAGCATACTGTGATCAAGTGGGATTTATCCATGGGAAGCAAGAATGGTTTGCATATGCAAATCAATAAACGGGATATACCACATTAATAGAAAGAAAGATAAAAATTACATGATCATCCCAATAGATACAGAAAAAGCGTTGGATAATTCCACATCTTTTCATGATAAAAACCTTCAACAAAGTAGATATAGAAAGAATATACCTCACCATAATCAAGGACATATATGACAAGTCCACAGCTAATATCACAATGGTGAAAAATGAAGTTTTTCCTCTAAGATCAAAAGCAACACAAGGGTGCCCACTTCCATCCTCTCTATTCAACATAGTACTGGAAATCTTAGCTAGAGCAATTAGACATAGAAAGGGGTAAAAGGCATCCAAATTGGAAAGGAAGAAGTAAAATTGTCTTTATTTACAGATGATATGATTTTGTGTAGAGAAAATTTTAATGATTCCACTAAAAACCTGTTGAAACAAATAAATTTAGTAAAGTTTCAGGATACAAAATCAACATAAGAGATCATTCCTACACAGTAACAGTGAGCTCTCTGAAAAAGAAAGAAAACAATCACATTTACAATGGCGTCAAAAACAATAAAATTCTTAGGAATATATTTAACCAATGAAGTGAAAGATCTGTATACTGAAAATTATAAGACACCGATGAAAGAAATGCCAAAAGATACAAATAAATGAAAGATAGCCCATGTTCATGGATCAGAAAAGGTAATGTTAAAATACCCACAGTACCAAAATCCATTTATAGATTCAATGCAATGCCTATTAAAATTCCAGTGGAAATTGTCACAGAAATGAAAACAATCCTAAAATTCACATAGAACCACAAAAGACCCTGAAAAGCCAAACCAGGCTTGAGAAAAAACAAACCTGGAGGCTTTACATTTCCTGATCGCAAACCAGATTACAAATGTATAGTAATCAAAATATGATGGTACTAGCATAAAACAGATGCATAGACCCATAGAACAAAATAAAAAAAAAAAAAAAACAGAAATAAACCCGTGCTATACTGTCAACTAATATTTGATAAGGAAGCCAAGCATATGCAATGGGGAAAGGGTAGTTTCTTAAATAAATAGTGTTAGGAAAATTGGATATTCACAGCAACTAAATAAAAATGGGAATATAAATGTAATGCAAGAATATAAATACAATGAGTATTATTAAGCTATGAGCGGCAACATAGATGGACCTTGAAGGCATTGTGCTAAGTGAAGTCAGTCAGACAGAGGAAGAAAAGTACTGCACGATCTCACTCACGTGTGGAATGTTAAAGAGTCAAACTCATAGGAACAGTAGGATGCTGGTTGCCAGGTGCCGTGAGTTGGGAAAATAGAGACGTTGGTCAAAGGGTACAAACTTCCAGTTATAAGATGATTAAGTTGTGGGGATCATGGTGATTAAGTTAACAATATTGCACTGTATGCTTGCAAATTGCTAAGAGAGTAAATCTCACATGTTCTCACCACCCACCATCTCAATAAAAAAAAGCTAATTATATGAAGTGATGAGTTATTAAGTCAACTTATTGTGGTAGTCATTTTTTAATATATACATATGTCAAATCATGTTCAACTTATATAATTTTATGTATCAATTATATCTCAATAAAGCTGTAAAAAAAAAAAAGGAATAGTGTGGAGATCACCTTCAGGTTTAGTTATTAATTTGGGATTAAGAAGCTCATGGCTATAGCTGAACTAAGTGGCAATATTCAAGATCCTGAGACTTTATGGGACCCAGAGGTATGTTTAGAAGGTCAAGGAACCCAAATGCTAGCAGGTAGGGATCTCAGTGGGGCCTGGGGGGTTTACTTATCACAGCCAACAGGAGCATGGACAGGTCTCTCGGTAGGCTGAACTATAATCTATGCGTCTTAGTAGAGGCCAAATTGAAGGCCTATTGATAGAACCCTGATAGCAGTGTTGACTATAATAAATGGAATAGGCCAAGTGACAAAGGTAAATAATGCTATGCCTGATGAAAATCATATTCTGGGTATATAAACTTACAGAATATACATAGTTACAGGATTAGAAAATTACAATAATTTATTCATTTTTCCTAAAGATTTATGAAAATAAATTGGGCCATTTTTCAAACTCTTGTTTTAGGGAAAGTTACATACATGAACACGGATAAATATACAAGCATTTGCAACAATTTGAGATTTGCCACAATATTTTAACTCTGGAAAACTTCTAGTGGTTCTGCCTTGAGGGCACCGTATTTACCATGGGACCGGGTCTTTAGAGAAATGCATTTGGAGGCATGTATACTTCAATAAAAGAACCACCACAAATTTGGCATGGCTTAGGTATGTTAGTTCTTCCAGAAGCTGGGGACCTGGACCAGTGAAACCCTCTTTCAGGGTAATAAGACCGTCACACACATGATATTCTTAATAAAATTCTACTGTTATCATCTTTGGAGATAGTCTTTTGCCATATTTCCGTAGGAAAAAAATAAAAGTCATCAATAAAATTAACCATAGAAATCTTCACCCAAAAGACCTTTTAGGAAAATGAGAAAGGTCTTTAATTATAGAGAAACTAGTAAGCTATAAAATGAATTCATAATAGGGACTCCACCAATCTGAACTCCTTTGTAGGGCTGTTGAAATTGACCATGCTATGTGAAATCTACAAGTTGGAAAACAATACTGAGGACAACTGAGAGATTCAGGGAAAATATCAGCAAATTTAATGTCTGCACACATTATCAACAGCTACAACAGAATATTATCCTAAGATGTAGTGGGTTGAATTGTATCCCCCCAAAAGATACACTGAAGTCCTAATCCCTGGGACCTGTGAATGTCACCTTATTCGGAAAGAGTACCTGCAAATGTAATCAAGTTAAAATCCAATGACTGGGGTCCTAGTAAGAAAAGGAGACAGAGATTTAGACATGGAGACGGAACACACATTGAAGGAAGGCCGCACGAAGACAGATGCAGAGATTGGAGTGAAGCAGCTGTAGGCCAAAGAATGCCAAGGGCTACTGGCATTGCCCGTAGCCAAGAAAAGGCAAGGAAGGATCCTCCCCTAGAGCCTTCAGAGGCAGCCCAGCCCTGCTGACACCTTTATTTCACACCTCTGGCCTCCAGAACTATCGGAGAATAAATTTCTGTCCCTTCAAGCCACGTAGTTTGAGGTAATTTTGTGATGGCAGCTCTAGGAAACTGATAGAAATGTAAACAAAATTGAAAAACCAGTATTTCCTGTTCTGTGCGCAGTAAAAACCTGGAAGCCGCCCTGGCACTCCCCCCACCCCCCCATATCCAGTCTGTGGCTGGGTCTTCCCAATTTCACCCCTACCTCTGTTGGCTGCTCCATTTCTCCTTCTCCCCGTCACCTCCTCTCCAGACTGGGGCTCGAGGACCAACTCCAGCGCGATGGCCTCTCTCCAGGCCTTCCTGCCCCAGAGTTTCCTCAGGCTCCAATCCTTCCTCCTGCAGCCAGGTTGGCCTGAAAATGTAAATCCAATTAAGGGGTGGTTCAGTCGGTTAAGCACCCCACTTTTGATTTTGGCTCAGGTCGTGATCTCATGGTTTGTGGGTCTGAGTCCCGCGTTGGGCTCTGTGCTGACCGCGCAGAGCATGCTTGGGATTCTCTCTCCTTCTCTTTCTGCCCCTGCATGCGCGCACGCTCTCTATCTCAAAATAAATAAACATTAAAAAATTTTTTTTCTTAATGTAGATCTAATTACACCCTGCTCCTCACTGCCCTCCCAACCTCTCCATTCACTTTTATAGGGCTTTAGCCACTGATGCCTTATGTGGTCTGGGTCCTTCCAGACTCTCCCTTCATCCCACTCTGTCACTTGCTCCCTGCTCTCAAGATGTTGCAGCCTTCTTTCTGCTCCAAGAATTCTCAGAGCTGTATCCTCTCCCAGGACGTTTGCACATGCCATTCCCTAGGCCCGGCGCTACTCATGCCTCCCCTCTCATGCTAGCTTTACCCCCAGTCCCTCCCTCAGAATCGGTCAATCTGCACCTGACATGCTCACAGCTCCTGAACACTGTGACAGTTAGCCCGACTCATAATTACACATCTGTTTCCGTGGTATTTGAAAAACGTCTATCTCCCAAGCTACTCTGTAACTCCGTGGCCGGTTCTGTTCCCGGGGCCTGACTCAGCGGGTGCACGGAGGAGGAAATCAGCAAGCTGTGACTGAGCGCCTGAATCTGTTACCTCCTTTCAAACTCTCCTTTCCAGTAACTACCACCTTTTTTTAGGAGGGAAAAAACCCACAAAAGACGTACCCTCTTTACCGTCCCTTCTTCTTACTCCTTCCATCAAACTTGAAAGAATTTGAATATGGCTGACCAAAAAAACACAAAACAAAAAAATAATCTAGCTACAGATTTCAGCCCCAGGCTTGCGAGATTACTGAGCGATGATCGCATGGATTGCAAGAAACATTTTCTCATTAGAAAAGGAAAGACATCTTGAAAAAGATCTTATCTTGTCTCTAAAGCTTTTTGTCAACATGAGCCGGCACAGCTCTTCACAAATGTCTGGTCTGCCTCCACGTGGGAAGCTTTTTCAACTACTTTACTGATAAGACGATTGGCTCTGATTAAAAGTGAATTGTTCATGAGACCAGTCTACAAAAGATAAATAGAAAACTGTGCTTTTAGGTCAGGAAAAGAGCGGAGCGTTTCTGGAAGACGCTGACCTCCCTTAAATGAGCCGCCCTCGCTGGGTGGTGACTGGTGGGGCTCTGTCCCTCTCTGGTCAGAACGCATGCTTTGTCTCCAACACATCCCCCTGCGCCTCCAAAACTGTCTCCTCCTAGGCAGCTCCTGGAGTGCTCTCCTGTCTAGAAGAGTGGTCCCCAAAACATCTAGCACCAACCCCTCCAGGACAGTTTGTAACTATCTGCAGGTGACTAAACATACTCCAAATGCTATGGGTGTGTCGGGGACTGCCATTTCTCTGCAGCAGCTGGATGTGGCACACAGAGAGCAGCAGCACCTCTACCCCACGCTGGGGTGGCTGCTGTGGGAGGAAAGACAGCTGCGGGGGCCCCTGCTCCTTCCATCCCTTCCCCGGGTCTCCAAAGCAGCTCCTTCAGTCCTCAGACACACGCTCTGAGACAGCCACCGTGACTTAATCCGAAGTCCCTAGGGAGGCCAGGACCCCCGTGACCACGACGAGAGGAAGTCAAAGGTCCGGAACACAGGAGGGAGCCCCACCTTGCCATCAGCCCTGAGGCCCTCCATGCTTCCCTGGCCAAGGCACCCACTTCCGGTTCTAAAGAGAGAGGACTTCCAGGAAGGGGAAGGGGTCCATGGGGCGGACAACGGGCTCATCTCCACCTGCTGTTATAAAACACAGTGTCTAACAAACGATACAGCCCACGTAGCTGCAGAGCACCCCTTCACCATCCCAAAAGACCTATTGCTTTGTTGGCAACTTGCCCAAGAACAGCTTTGCATGTTATTTGCTAGTTTACTTGTATTTTATGGGTTTGTTTATATGCTGTATTTATTTATTGATGCAAACGGATATTCATGTGCTCTGAGGTTATATAAAATGAGGGTTTACGGCAAGAACCCAAAGGGAACCAAGAGCCACATGGGGCTGTCGGCTTCTTCTGAGCTATAAAGTCACTCCAAGTCCCAGAGCCTCCTGAGACGGGGATTATAGGAGGAGGAGGCTTCAGGGAGGGCTCGGATGGTGGCTCAGACATATTGAGAAGCAGGTCAAGCATCTCGTGTGTGCATCTGCCCCAGCCACACCAAGGAAGGGAATGTTAATAGGTCACCGCTCAGTTTTACCCAAAGGCACCTCATGTCCTGCTTGGATCCTTGTTATCTTCGGCTTGTGCACCTGTGTGACCCCCGTGGCACTGTGTGACAAGGGCCACCAAGAGTAAAAAAAAAAAAAAAAAAACCCTGCCTGGAGAGGCTTTCCCTAGAGCGGATATGTGGCCTGGCAGCCACCAACATCCAATGGCAGTTTCAACTCTAGCACTTTACAAATGTTCAAATACCTTAATTCTCACAGAAAACATAAAGCCAGATATCACTATGGCAGTTTTGAATAGGAGGGAGCAGCAGCCTAAGCGACAGTTGATCAGTTGTGGGGCATCTGGGATTTGACCCAGGCTCGGGGCTTGCTTTAACGCTCACACTTCCGTGCACGACACAAATCTTCAGGGGAGCTTCGCGGGCTGGCTGATGGCATCCTTGCTGCTCTTACGAAGTCTTGTACATCCCCACGCAACTGACTGCTTTAGTTTTGTGTGGCAGGAACTCGTTCTCGTCGTCATGAGCTGGAGGGGGCAGAATTTAACTTGATTTTTCAGAAGTGGAACGATTAGGTATATTTCTGGTTCTGAGCCCCGTTCAGTTAAAAGCTAAACACATCCAGACATGATTTTTGTCTAGTCATGTCTGGGAAACTCCATCAGATGTATTCCCTGTTTATGCTTCATACTCAACTCTCCATGCCCGTCCCAGCCCCGAGGAATGTTATCAAATCTGGATGCCAGGAGGGAAGGCGGCAGAAACGATTATGCCAGACCACATCTCTTTTCAAATCCTTTCTGTTTTATACCTGGCTCAGTGGCTTTTGAAGTTAATGGTGAACGATGCTCATTTTTTGTTTTCTGGCCCCAAAGGGGTAGAGTGTCATAAGCCAACTGTGTGGGCTGTGGACTGGAAGGGAATGGGCTGTGTAAAGAAATCCTACGGTGGGGGCAGGGAGGGGTGGGTTGGTGGAGCGTAAATAACCACTTATCAGAGGCTTACACTGACTCCCGCGTACAAAACAAACCCCTGTCCCTGCCAGCCATCGCTTCCTCCCCTGGACCCAATTTTGTTTCGTTCTCTTCATAAATGTATCACCTGCTAGCCTGCATATTTATTTATTTGTTCATCCTCTGTCTCCCACTCCCCCCTCCTCCACAAATATTGTAATATCATTTACTTGACGGGTGGGCTTTCTTACGTTCATTGCTGAATCTCTAGCAGCCAGAGCAATATCAAACCTAATCAACTTTCATGACATATTTATTGAATGAACTATGAATTGAATCCACAAACTCTCCCACTTCAACTGGTTTTACAACAAGATCCAGTCTTAGTCTTACAAAACTACTCTGTTAGTGACGTGCTGTTTACACATCTCATTCCCCCCAAATCTACCAGCGCATGATCAAGGCCTTGGTAGTGGAAGACCGTTTCTCGTTATGGCCCGTCAGACTGCAGGGCATTTTACTCCTGTACCACATTGCAGTAAAAGAAACCAATAGAAAAATGCAGTCAGTCTGTGTATTTCCAGTGGCTTGCAGAATCTAAAGGACTTAACTACAGAGTAAGTGGCAGAAATAAATGGGACAAAGCAGAGAAAACTCTTAAGGGGTGTATGTGTTCGGAGGGGAAGTTGTTAGAAATCTAGTTGGAAGTTTGAGCTAGGAGTGGAAGTTCATTTTTTTACCATTGTTGGCCAAATATTCTCTCCCATTCCAGAAACATGTCCAAGCCAGTATTGGTGTCAGCAGGTGACCCGAGGATTATCTGTTCATCCATTTCCATGGTAAATACTGTAACTATGGACAAATCAAGCATTCCAGTTCGAGCAATATGATTAATTTCTCTCTGTTGACAATATTTTGCATAGTTTTAAAAGATAATAGAATAATGAAATGAACTTGCAAAAAATGCAAACGTTAGGTAACCATAGTTGCCAAAGATCCAATATTTCAGATGCGTGAACACCAACGAGTAGCTAGGTCTAAATGGGAGAATTTGGAAACGTCAAGAAAAGTACTGTGCTGAGGAATCCCTCTCTGCGGAAAATCAGTCGGGCTGCTCCGATTTCCTGTTACTTCCTTGATCCTTTTAGTTTTTTAGCTTAGCACGCATTCCCAAACTGGATCCTAATATTTTCCCAGATATTGCTTTTAAAATTCTGTCGATCAGTTCTTCTGGCTTGTCCCCTGGATTCTGCTGTTATAGACAATTCTCCGTTGACTTTCCCCTGTTGCTTCTCTGATTTGGGTTTTCTCATGCTGCATAATCTAGTTGTGTGCATTGACTAGTATGATCTGTTGAGAGGTCATCCATGCTCCACTTGGCCTCAGTTTTTAAAAGTGTTCTGAGCAAGTATAAACCTTGTTATCAGCCAATACATCTTTGGGGCTGTGTGGGAATAGCCGTATAACATGAGTGGCAAACTGAATGCTCAGCATCCATTAAAATTTCATTTTTCAATTGATACCAGAGATAATACAATGTATTTGGAAATATGCATGACCATTTCCCTTGCCGCCTATATGTTTGACATTAAAGGTAACTCAAATCTGGCAAAAAAAAAAAAAAAAAATTCTGGTAGTATCTTTACACTGTGAGCTGGCAGAAAAAGTGAATCTGGGATGGAGGAGGTAATTTTAGCCTATGGCAAACATGAGCTCCCTAAACAACGAGGTGCCTGTTCAGCAGGAAAGCGGAGGGAAGGCAGGGAGCTTGGCTCTGGGTCCCAGCAGCTCCTCAGGGACCAGGTGGCTGAGG